TTATTATTTAGAAAATTAATTACTATTCTTCACTTTATTTTTATCTTTATTTTCATCATGAATTATGGCATTATTTAGAAAATTAATTACTATTCTTCACTTTATTTTTATCTTTATTTTCATCATGAATTATGGCATTATTCGGAATTTCTATTTACTATTCAACTTTTTTGTTTTCATTCTCATTTTCTTTTTTTTTTTAGTGTAAATATAATTATTTACTGCTTCAATTTTCAATTTTCTGTCACTTTGAAATTGAAATACAACTTTTATTATACATAATGTTTCTTTTGATCACATATTAACAATAATTTATTTAAAAAAATTATCCCTTGATGCATTTTGTAAGCTTTTAAACAGGAAAAAAACTCGCCTTGTTTTAAAAATTTCCAAACTATTATCATTCGAATTTTATTAAGTTAAAATTATTAAATTAAAATTAAATTGCTTATCTGTCATGGGGTTAATGAATGTATATGGTTATACACTCAATTCCGCTCAGTGGTTCATCTAGTATTGCACGCTCTGTACACAGCTACGTTTCTTACTCAAATTCTACCCTCTTCTCAATAACAACTTCTCTCAACATTATTAACTCAAGGTACTAAGTTGAAATCACTAGGCACCAGTGTATAAAATCTCATCTCAAAAACATGTGAAAGTTGCGCACATTGTACTTTTATTTTATGTGAATAATTTTAAAAATTAGTGCACTATGAATTTTTATAATGCTATAAAATACATGTGCACAAATTTAAAACATGTGAACTATTAAATTAATTATATTAATTAGTAAAATAAACTGTTTGTAATACTTGTTTGTAAATTATTTATTAATAAAATAACAAATAAATTTGTTTGAAACTATTAACTAAAAGATCTATAGAACGATTATTAGTAAAATAATATAAATCTATCTAAAAAAGTATTTTAAAATTAAAATTTTAATAAGCCAAATAATTAAAAAGACTAAAATTTATAATTTAATATCTAATTTTAAATAAATAAATAATTAAAAAATATTATAAATTTTATATTTGTATAGTGCGATTTTATTTGTAAATATATATATATATATAAATTTTAGAGTTAAATAAAAAAACTTATTTTAATTTAATAAAAACATAATTTATAAAAATAAATATTTTAGTAATTCTACAGTAAGTTTAAGTGTTTAAAACTACTCTTTGCTTTGTGATCCAATTTTTATATGCTTGCTCTAACTAAATACAAAGACTGTTTCGAAACTATGTAACAATTATATTTAAGTCACATACTGTTTATTATTATATAATATAAAATAGTGTAATTTCTATTCATAGCTATACTCTATTCCCAAGTAAGTATTGTTCTCAACTTAATATTATATTTTAAGAATTAATACCGTTTTTGATTTGGTATAGTCTCAAGAATTCTACTATAAAATTTTATATTATACTATTACAGCTTTTAGATTATGATGAATTGAGAATTGTTTCACACAGAGATTAAACCAGATACTTATCAAAGTATTAGAGCTAGAAAACTCTATTATTATCGATGCCACTATTATTTATTTACTTAGTGTTAGTAAATACTTTTTAATCTATTAGAAATTGAACCTAATAAGGTATTTAATTAAGATTTATCGTTAACTATCTTCAGGGAGGCTTATTTGAAGCTGGTTTTAGCTGCATAATAGAGCCAAGCCGATGAGTTCCAACTTAACTATGGATCAGCATCAACTGCCATAGTTATTGAAGCCGTTGATAATACCGATATAGTATGCAGCAGTTATTATGTAACTACAGAATGAAATGTAGTATTTAAATAAGCCATACAGACGTAATCAGCTCTAAAAACTCTTTAATAGTTAAAATTGGCTTATAAAACTCTTCATCATGTATGTCAGGTTTTCACATGATATTTCAACTAAGTGTCTTTAGAACTTTTTTTTATTTAATTAATTGAACATTATCAATCAATATATTAATTAATTTCTCATTTAAATTTTTATTTATATTTATTTAAAGTTCTCTCAAGCACATAAATTATAGGTCAAAGTTCAATTTTTAATTAGCGAAAGTAGTTTAACCGGAATAAAAAAAGCTTAACCCACTTTTTTGCCATAGACTTGTTCTTATTGACTAAACCTTTATTATTCGCATTCACGTTATGAATCTTCAGCAAAATTACAGTAAATATCGCATCAATTAATCGCAGTATTTATGCATTATCTTGGTAACTAGCTAATCACATTGAGACGCCATTAGTTCCTAAGTTTAGTGATTATTTATTGATCCACATTAGCTTTATAATTATCTGCCTAAATAATGCAGTTTAGTATGACCAGATCAGTACGGTATGGGGTGTAAAATACCTCTATTTTTAATACATGTTCCAGTTTTATATATTATTAGAGTTAGCATTAGAAAATTATATCAGATTGGCATGATAAAACCTACGAATTTTCTTACTTGTTTAAATTACAGCTCTCATCAATAAAGTCATGTTGTATTCAGTTGTGTATTTATCTAGATTCTAAATTAGGCTTATATTTATCTGTTCATAATTTAGCACGACAATTTCACGAATTTACTTATGAAGAGCGGTTTATTATATGTAAGGTAAACAATATGTAATTTAGATTCAATTAAATGTTACAAAATGCGATATGTATATGTACGATACATATGTAATAATATAAATAGAACAAGCTTTCCCTATTAAGTTATTTAATCATAAATAAATTTAGAGAAACAACCATTAAAGTATTAAATAAATATAAAACATTTTATATAAATATCTATTCAATTTGCATATAAAAATAGACTGTGCGCACAATGTGCTCCATGTGCACCCTAGTTAAGGTTTTATTAATAAATTTGGTGCACTATGTGGCTCGAAATCTTGTGAATCTCGTGCACATTTCTAGCCAAAAACATGTGAAAACTTTTAAAAATATGTGCTCATGAGCACATTGTGCACATAGATTTTATACACTTATAATAGGCACCTTGAAATGCTCTATATTGCCTTTGTTAATATCTGATAGTAAATAAATACCCCAATTTTCACAATTATTACTTCATGATAATAACTTCAGTGTGAAAATGTTTACTGACGTTCTCTATCTTGTGTTCCTCTTTTTTAATATCCTATTAATATTACCCGATTCTCCATTGATAACAATTTCCAAAATTATTTATACACACCAATTGGTTAGTTGTTTCTTTTAACATTTACAGAGATGGAGTATCAAAGGTATAAAGATCTAGCATGTAACCTCTCATGAAAATCTCTAATTTTTGAAAAAAAATTCTAACTTATATATATATATAAGAAAGTTAAAACGTTAGTAAGTATTTTTTTTCTTACTGATTCTAGTGAGCTATTTTTGAAATAATGATATAGTAGAGTTTGAAGTACAATCTTAATATTTAAAAAAATGGTTATAAAAGTTCAATTTTTCATTTTGATAAGGCTTTGTTATAAGCTACACTTACACTATTTTATGATCAGGGGAAAATATTTTTTGATCAAGCAAGCTAAAGCGTGAAATAGCATACTTGTAAAATTTTACCAGAAGTTTTATAATGCTAGTTTTGCTAGTCTATATTGATATATAAATTCGTTGATCTGATTGGCCAATTTACATATGGCCCTCGATTTTGGGGTTACAAATTTTAGGGTACTTCATCGATTGGCTGATATGTAGTAAACAATTTTGCAATGTGAGCCAAAATTTGTAGATCTTCGGCTGTTAACCAACCAAAATCGATGTCAATCGTTTGAAGAAACATTGGTCTTTTGAGGTTTTATTTAAAATATGATTTAAAAATACATATGCACTTGCTATTAGAATCAAAAAAAAAACTGCTATTTTGTAGGGATGGCAAATGATTTAAATCACAATGTTTTAAATCAATAAAATATTGCTTTAAAATGATTTTTTTTAAGATTTAAATCATCGTCACTGATATTGACATCATGATTAATAATACTAATTTGGCTACGTGATTAATCATACTAATATGGTTACATAATTAATCATACCAATACGTATAGTTATTACAGTTAAACTAACTAGTCAGATGCAGTAATTCTAGCTGCAGCCAGCAGCACTATAATCACCGACGATTTAAACCATTTTATTAAATCAAGTTAAAAATCAAAAAAAAATCATTAAAAATCGATTTTTTGCCATCCCTACTATTTTGCGCATCTATAAATTGGATAATTTTCGGGTCCGGTTCGGGTTGGGCAGGGACACGGAAATTGTGTGATTTAGTGTGATTAAACCAAATCGCACTAAATCGCATAATTTTACATCATATTTATATTCTCCGATTAAGAAATTGCGTATGAATTTATTCTCCGATTGAAAAATTTATTAGTTGAGCGCAGTATTTGAAAAATTTTTTAATTGAGCGTAGTATTTAAAAAATCGTAAGTTTTTTTTTCGAGTAAAATTTGCAAAAAACACTAAATCGCACTTTTAAATTTTAATCCTCAGCAAATCGCATATATTACACATACCGCACGCATAATTTATAAATTCTTATCGCATAAATTCCGTGTCCCTGGCTTTAGCAATTGCGATCGCAATCACAATCATTTAATCATAAAAAAATTAATCATAGAGGTCACAAAATTATACAAACCGCAATAATCATTAGTTTTATCGCTGTTTGCAAAATGGTTTACAGCATGTTTGATAAAATTTTATATCTGATTGCACAATTGTGAATTATGATTTTAGTAAATATTGACACGGCAGGCATAAAATACTATATTTATATTGAATCCTTAGCTAAAAAATACAATATTATAATCGTACAATCGGAAAATTTCGATTGATTGAAATGTGGACTGCGATTAGGGATTGATAAAATGCGCTTTTCAATAAAAAACAAACACGAAAACGGAATCATGCGTATGAATGTGACATTAATACACATGCATGAAATCGCATTAACCATCCCTAGATAGTATTAGGGCTGACAAAACATTTTTTGACATCATTCGCATAGCCCATATCTAATTTCAATTTTCTATAAAATTTTGATGGAATCACGCGCATGCATGAAACCCATTACTAGTAAGCAGTGATAAATAAAGAACATAAAAATGTACTTACTTCATTTAAGAATTGATCGTTGATTTTTGATGAATAGTTAAGCTTTTTTAATGCAACAAAAAGACCATTTTTTAAATTATCACTGTCCCGATCCGAAAATTCTTTATACTTCCAATTATCATCAATTAACCCTATATCTCTATGCCAATTATTCTTTTTGTGATTCCACTTTATAATACGTCCATCAATCCAAATGGCTTTATAAATAACACCGAATCCACCTCTGGCAACATACGTAATTTCTCTCAAGCGATTATATGGAATCCATTCCAGAGCTTGAAACATACTTATAGCATCAATCTGAGTGTTTTGTATAAATATATCAATGAATTGATTTCCACTTGTCCAACTTGAAAAGTTGTGCATAAATTTTTTAGCATTGCAAGATTTACACCAATATTCACAGGTATTTGGCTGATCGCAGTCTAGACAGATTTTATATCCTCGTTCACGGAATAAATGCGATAAGTCTGGTATAAATCTGTTATAGATAAGAATCACGATAAAAATGTCATATACTGTATGCCTATATGATTAATTTATTATAACTATTTACATAATGGCTATACAGAAACTTTGAACCTCTTAATGCGTAGTAACTGCATAATAATTATGTCGTTACTATGCAGCTAGGTTCTACCCTAAAATCCTGAAAGACAGTTTCCCGAAAAAGACATAATATCGACAAAGTTAGCCAGCATTAGTTATAATGCTGGCCAATTTAGTCAGTATTATGTCCTTTCGGGAAAATGGCTTTCGGGATTTCAGGTAGAACCATGCAGTTACTGCGTATTAAGATATTTAAGTTTCTGTAAAGGATTAAATAATTACATTTTTTTAATTTTAGAATTAACTTGATTCAAGAATATTCTTCCGTTACTTTAAAGAAATAAATGTGTTACTTTAGCTATTGATCAATGAAATAAATACTGTAATGAAATAATTCTTAAATTTAAATGACTTAATAATATTAATAATATGTGCAGACCTTAAAATATAGTAATACCTGAGTTATATCGCCCTTTTTTCCAGAGCGTTTTTGGAGATATTACTAGGTGGAGATATACAAACCATATAAAAAAGGAAATTTATTCTGCTAAAAACGGGGATATAACTCAGGTATGACTGTAATTTAGATGCAGTGGCATACCTAAAAGTGTTAATCGATTGGGGAGCATTCCATGTAGCTGTTTTTGAAATGTGATCAAAGAAATACTGCCGACCACTTTTTGAATCGAATCGCGTTTCCCAGCCATAGGGAAGTGAAATTAAACTTAGCATATGTTGCTGTGCGGTTTTCAAGGATCTTCCCAAGTCGATATTCTCATGTCATGATTAACGAAATATACTCTACCACCGACTGTAATTTTTCGCTCTTAATTATGCAATAAGCCTGTAAGTTAATTTCATTATATATCCTATTCGAAATCACATATAAATCTATACAATATTTACCCCAACCAATTGGCAAAATAGATAGATTAGTCTGATCATTTATTGATGCTTTACTTATATCTGCAAATGCTTTTTCATGTTTACCCATTATACGATGGACTTCGCTACGTATTTTTAGTGCAATTGCATCATTTGGTTCAATTTCTAATGATTTATTTAAATCTAAAACAGATTCTTCATATCTGTTCATCAAACTATAAACTTCCCCACGAATTCTTAATGTAAATGCATTATTTGGTTCAATTTTTAATGATTTATTTAAATCTGCAAGTGATTCTTCATATCTGCTCATCATGCGATAAGTTCGTCCACGAATTCTTAATGTAAATGCATTATTTGATTCAATTTCTAATGATTTATCTAAATCTGCAAGTGATTCTTTATATCTGTTTATCATGCGATAAGTTTCTCCACGAATTCCTAGCGCAAATGCGTTATTGGGCTCGATTTCTAATGATTCATTTAAATCTGCAAGTGATTCTCTATATCTGCCCATCATGCGATAAGTTCGCCCACGAATTCTTAATGCAAATGAATTATTTGGTTCAATTTCTAATGATTTATTTAAATCTGCAAGTGATTGTTCATATCTGTTCATCAACCGATAAGTTTCTCCACGAATTCTTAATGCTTCTGCATCATTTTGTTCAATTTCTAACGATTTATTTAAATCTGAAAGCGATTCTTTATATTTTCTCATTACGCGATAAATGTCCCCACGATTATATAAAGCAAATGCATTATTTGGTTCAATTTCTAATGATTTATTTAAGTCTGCAAGTGATTTTTCATATCTTCTCATCATACGATAAGTTTCACCACGAATTCTTAATGCAAATGCATCATTTGGTTCAATTTCCAATGATTTGTTTAAATCTGAAAGTGATTCCTCATACCTGCACATCATGCGATAAGTTTCTCCACGCATTCTGAATGTTTCTGCATTATTTGGTTCAATTTCTAATGATTTACTTAGATCTACAAGTGATCTTTTATATCTTCTCATCATACGGCAAGTATCTCCACGAATTCTCAATTCAAATGCATTATCTGGTTCAATTTCTAATGATTTATTAAAATCTACAAGCGATTCCTCATGATTTATATATCTGCCCATCATATGATAAGTTTGCCCACGAATTCTTAATGCAAATGAATTATTTGGTTCAATTTTTAATGATTTATTTAAATCTACAAGTGATTCTTCATATCTGCTCATCAACAGATAAGTTTCTCCACGAATTCTTAATGCAAATGCATCATTTGGTTCAATTTCTAATGATTTCTTTAAATCTACAAGTGATTCCTCATATCTGCCCATCATGCGATAAGTTTCACCACGCTTACTTAACGCATATGCATTGTTCGGTTCAATTTCTAACTATTTATTGAAATCTGCCAGTGATTCTTCATATCTGCCTATCGTGCGATAAATTTCACCACGCTTACTTAATGCAATTGCATTGTTTGGGTTTATTTTATACATCTTTACCGAAAATAAATTCATATACACTCTTTTAACGCAAGCACACTTTTCTTTATTACAAGGATTAACGACAAGCTATCGTTCTAGTGTTGTAATCCACATCAAGTATAAAATCATACGATGAGAGAAGTATAATTGGTTTAATGCAACTCAATGTATATACGTACAATATCAGTCTAATTACAAACATATAGTGCATATCATATAATAATGATCACTAATCAAGATTTTTTATAGTGTACTGTAGATCAACGACAATTTATCGCTATTTGCAAAATGATTTAACTCCCCTTCCATCTTTTTCGGCGCCCCAACTCTGATCATTGCCTATTAGGAATTAGTTTGGGCGTGTGCCTTGGGTTCTACGTCAGCTATGTAAATCAAACCTATATCAGGTCCTATTATAAATTTTATTATTGAAGATTTTTTACTAA